CACTGCTCCTCGTCCCTTCAGTGATGATCAGGGTTGCATAAGCAGGAACTGATGCAGATTGCTGTTTTCTCTTCCTCTGGCTCCAGCTTCCAGAGAGTGAATTATGGTGTGCTCAAAAACCTCCGAGTTCCCCCAAACCAAACCCCAGCCCTGTAATCTGGTCGAGGTCTTGCCGCAGCGGTTGCCACTAGAAAATTGATTTTTATCCACAGGGTCCATGTGGCAGGGGGTAGAGAGGTGCTGGGCTCTGGGTGGGGAAAATGAGGTCGTGGAATGGGAAAATAGGATTTGGGGGGTTGGTAGGGAGGAGGCAGGTCCTGGAACTGCCTAGCAGAAATGCTGCTTGCCTGCAATGTGCCAGGGAGGGGAGATGGTCATTGGGGATATCTCTCGAGGATAACACATGGGAGAGCAAAGAGTGCTCATGACAGGGAGAAAGAAGTCCAGGACAGGGCCATGATCCATCCCCAGGCCAAAGGCATGATGGCCAGGACCTCTTGAAGGCTCCCAAAGTCAATGGAGAGGCATTCACCTCCAGCCCCATTCTCTGCTGGGCTTGGGACTGGCGATGCCTCCAGCCTCCTTCCTTCCCTGCAAATCACCTGGCCAACCCCTCCTCTCAGCCTTTTCTCCCCTTTCTAGACAAAATAACAACCTCTCCCCATTCCTGGGACTGCTCCCTTCTTTTCCAGACTTGCCTAGGCTCTTTCATCATGCCAATAAAAGAGTAAATGCATCACACATTGGCCGGGGAGAGCGGAAACCCTTAAACATCTGAGAGGCGAGAGCGACAAGAGGTGTTTTTTTGAGGCTCCCCGATGCCCTGTTAGGTCAAATGTCTTGCTCTGAAGCAGGAGAGAGGGGACTTATTAAAAACCTTTCATTTTTCTGATTTTTAAGGTCCGGAGGCCGGAGGCCGAGGCGTGAGTGGGGCTGCCGAGGGGGAAGGGCAGTGAGCCGGTGGCGTGCAAACAGATTGTGCAATATTTGCCTTGCACAGAGCTCCCATTGTAAAGCCTGGGAGTTCTGCTTCCAATAAATCCCCTGCCATAATGCCCCATTGATGGCAAGAGAAAGGCAGTATTGAGGGCTGAAATGGCTCCATCCCCAGAAAGGGTTAAAAAATAAAGAAAAGGGGAGGGGGGGGGGGGAAGTTAAAAAAAAAAAAAAGATTTGAAGCTTAGTTTTAAACTTTGCTGTGTGGCCCTCGTGGCACATCGCAGGCGTGGAGAAATATGTGGAGCCTGTTTGCATAACCCCATTTGCAGCGAGCGCTCTCGGAGCCAAAACGCAAGTGCGGCCGGAGCCGGGGGGCGGTGGGCAGAAAGAAGCAGGAAGAGCTGTGTTTATTTTTATTCTTGCCCTAGGCCACATAAAATTAATAATTAGGGGGGGAGGGGGGAAAAAAGAAGAAGTAATAATTAAATATTTGGTCAGAGAACCAGCTGTGCAAATGTGAGGAGCTGTGCCAGCTGCAGGGACATGGAGGGACCTGGTCCAGGCACCGGTCAGGGTTTGCTGCCTCTCAGGTCATGTTGCTGGGCTTAGAAGCACCAAAAGGGAGAATATGAGGCTTTGTCTGGTGGCTTTACTCTGGATGCTGAGCAATTCCCCTGTGTGGGGGGCTTGGCTCCAGCTGGGAAGGGTCTGCAGGCGTGTGGAAGGGCTGGGCTGGGGTGTGGGAGGGTGATGCTCTGCCCACAGAGCTGCTGCCAGCCCCACATCCAGCACACAGCTCGCCCAGTGGGGCTCCCCATCACCTTGAACTGGTAACACCATTGCAGATCAGGCTGAGATGGAGATTCAGTGTCATTTGTCACAGCAGTTGATGTGACAGGGAGGAGCAGGGCTGTCCTTGCCAGGGCAGATGCAGGACCAAAGCAGGCAGGGTCTGCTGGCTGGCTCAGCATCCATGTCCGGGCTGGCTGCCAGGGGAAATCTCCCCGTTGTGCAACATGCTGGAGCTCTCCAAGGAAGCTCCTGGCTCTTGAGACATCTTTGAGCTAGGCTGGACGAGTGACTGCCTTGAATTAAGAGAGGCTGGGGGGGTGCCTGCAGGCCCTGAGTACTTTTTCCGTCCCTAGACCTTGTGATGCATTAATCACCCTCAGAGCAGCTGTGCAGACAGCTTAAATCGTACTGACCCTGAAACTCCAGACTTGTCATTCCTTCCTCCTCCTCCTCACTACCAGCCATTCCCTCCTCCTGCCTCCCGTCAGATGATTTCAGTGGGGCTGGTTTGAGGGTCCCGAGGCACCCCATTTCCTGGGATCGAGAGTGCCTTCACTGTACCCCTTGCTGCTTTTCACCTTCTTATCATTTCTTGGAGGAGCACCCTGAAGGTGTTTGTGTGCTGCTGGGACCCTGCCAGCCGTCCCTGAACCTTCAGAGCAGGGGCACTTCCAACAAATTCACTATTTATTCACCCTTCAGCTCTTGGAAAAGCTCCCTGAGCTGAGTTAACCCTGCTGTTTCTTCTCCAGACCCAGGGCCAGCACTGATTTCACTGAGCCAGCTGCCCTGGCGGGCATGGAAGATCCCCTCCCTGTGCCAGCATGTGCCCATGTCCCTGCTGCCACCTCCTGCCCTCCTTTCAAGTGTCTGAGCTTTGGCCACTGACAGCAGCTTAAACTCAGGATGACTCTCCCAGCCTGTGCCTCCTCATCCTAAGGGCGTGAGCTGGACGCGACCCACCACAGGGCTGCAGATGCTGCTGGAGCAGCAAATCCACACACCCAGGAGGTGCTTGGCTCTGCTCTTGCTCCTCCAGGGTGGCTCCAGCCCTGCTACTCATAAGTGGGCTCCAGCTCCACTGCTGTGGCCACACATCCCTTCTGCTGCCCTCTCTGCACCTCCCTCCTGCTCATCCTCTGGCCCCAAGGAAGACACAGTTTATCAGCGATCTGTGCTGCCTTAAACACACTTTCTCTGGCACGTCTGAGGCCTGACATCTTCAATTTCCTCTTTCATCTGTAATATTCACCCAAATGGACTATTATTTATTATTTGGAAAGAGCTCCGATTACAGTCCCTGGCGATAACTCTGTCTCTGTTCAGGGTGTGCACGGAGCCATGTGTGTGGCTATGCACACAGGACCCAGGAGGTGGAGGGTCCCCCACCTCTACTTACCCTCAGTCAGGTCCAGGATTTTCTGGGAGGAGGGTATTGTTCAAAACTAGAGATGCTGGGGGAGAAGAGGGAAGCGAGTGATGGGAAGGAGGGAGGGAAAGGGAGAGGAGAAGCGGGTGGAAGAAATGAGTGATAAACCCCTGAAGATTAATCAAACCTCACTGAACGGCTCAACCCAGCCCTGCTGTGCTCCATCGAGTGAGTAGAGGTTCCTGCCAGCAGGGAGAGGCACAGAACACAGCTATCCATCCTGCCTCCTGCTCTTGTCCCCTGCACCACTCCCCGTGCTCCTGCAAACCCCTGAGCCCTGGCTGAAATAGGCTCTGTCTCATTGCCTGTTCTTGTCCTCATCCCCTCTGCCTGTGCATTAAGCCAGGTGGGAGAAGCCTACCCTCCCTTTGCTATTCCTGGGAGTCATCCCTGTCCCTGGGACTAGGGAGCTTTGTGATCCCTCCTCCCCACTCCTCCACAGTGCCCGGGGTCCTATGGGGCAGGCAGGCATGGGGCAGGGGAGACACTTGGGGCACAGGGGGCTGGAGGGTCAGGGGAAGGGCAGGGAGTGTAGGGAGAGCCTGAGGGGGGAACCAGAGGAGGGGATCCAGGAGGGAGACTTGGAGGGGACCTGGAGCTGTCTGTCTCAACTGCTCTTTTCAGCCAGTTCTGAGGTTCCCCCCAAATACCCCAGTGAGCCCCCGCCACAGCCCTGCAGCCCTGCAGGTGGGGTGAGTGGGTGGACTGGAGGGCTGTTGGGGTGCCCTGTTTGCTGGAACCCCTCAGGTCCTCATGGGGGCTGTGCAAACAGCCACAGGGCTCAGCTCTGGCTGTACCAAGGGTGGGTGAAGGTGAGAGGGTTTGTGCTACCAGTCTCCCTTCTTGGGCCAAGTCCTGCCCCGGGGAAAGTTGAAGGGGTGAGATGGTTCCAGATGTGGGAGCTTCCTGATGCCTGATGAATGCTGGCCCTGAGGAAAGAATTGCACAGGGGAATTGCTCATCTCTCCCAAAAGCTGCCCTGAAGCATCAGGGCACTGGCCCCTTGTCCCAGAACCCCAAGCTCAGATCAGTACCCCTGCACTGGCAGAAGTCTCTGGTCCCCACCAAGCTTTGCCCCTGGCTGGCTGTGACCACGGCTCCTCCCTGCCTCAGTTTCCCCTCTTGGAAAATGGGTGCAGCAGCACCCACCCCTCTCTGTAGTGCTCTGCAAGCACCTGGTTTTATTAACACTGGGAGTGTTCAAATAGGTTTTTGTAGATCCCCCCTGTTCAGGATTTATTTAGATGGTGATCTTGTCAGCATGGGCAGCTGGCCCCAGCAATCCCTCCCAGAGACCCGGTCCTTCCCTCTGCCCTCCCAGTCTGGGTGTTGCAGGGGCTTTGGCTGAGCATCCCACCGAGGGTCCTGACCCGTGTGTCACACGTCTCGGGACAAGCAGGGAGGGAAGCATCCGTGGCTCAAGGAATGCCACACTCAGGACCCTGCATGCTCTGGGGCTTCCCAGCTTTTTCCTTGAGCTGCTGAGCTGGGAGGGGCCGAGCCGGCAGCTCCCCATAAACCTGGCGGCTTAGACCACGTCCCGGGCAGATGTTGGGACTCTGCCTTGGAGCGGAGGTTGGGAAAAGGAGAGGGCGGCTCTTGCCCGGAGAGTGAGGAGGAGAACTCGGCACCCCTGGGCTTGAACTTTAGCACCCTCTTCCGCAGGAGTTTAAAGAAAAGGATCATCGTATCCCGAGTGAGCTGTCCGGATAGCCGGGCAGGAGCAGGGCTGGAGAGAGGGAAAGCCAGCGGCTTTCTCTGACAAGGATTTTGTGGAGCTCTTCATAAAGAAATAACAGCGGGGAGAAAACCCCAGGAAGCCAGGAAGTGTTTCCAGCGCTCGGGACGCTGGTGAGCAGCTCCGGGCCGCCGCCAGTCCCTGCGAGGAGCCCGTCCTGCCGTGCAGATGTGTTTGATTGGAGCAGCGCGGGGGTTATTTTCTTTTGACTGAAGGCAACCCAGCCCCGGCGGATTAAGCTCTTTGTGTGCACGCGAGTGTGCCTTTATGGAAGCTGCTCCCGCAAAACCAGCCGGGGGGGTTGCCGGGACCATCCCCTAGGTCGGGGGGCTCTTCTGGAGGAGGGGGGGACCTCCTGTTTCCGTGACTCTGAGGCGATGCTGGGACAGTAACTCCCTTGGCAGGCAGCACAGTGTGCTCCGGGATGGCCGTCTATGCCCTCACGGGCTTCTCGCTCGTCAGCCTGCTCAGCTTTGGCTACTTATCCTGGGACTGGATGAAGCCCAGTTTGGTGGCTGATGTGGCCACGGACCCCATGGAGAAATCTCTGCCTCCTGCCTTTGCCAGGCCACCCCACATCATCTTCATCCTGACTGATGACCAGGGCTACCACGATGTCGGGTATCACGGCTCGGATATCCAGACGCCGACGCTGGACAGGCTGGCAGCGGAGGGCGTGAAGCTGGAGAACTACTACATCCAGCCCATCTGCACCCCGTCCCGGAGCCAGCTGATAACCGGCAGGTAAGCCAGTGCCCACTCACACCCCACTCCTGTCCCTGTTTTGGTCCCTTCTGTAGCCCCGAGGGGTTTAACCCCAGCTTGCAGCTTGACCGATGCCCAGGTGTGTTGGCAGGTGATGGAGATCCTCCAGTGGATCTGGATTTCTCTGGAAGGCTTCCTGTGTGAACAGTTGATTTTCATACAGGAAAAATAGTGGCACATGGCAAGGCCAAAAATGTGGATGCTGTTGGGTAATGGATGTCACTTTGGGAGAGGGTAGTTCCTGGCCTGAGGTGCTTCAGTGCCAGGCAAGGAGCTGTGTCCCCAGGTAGTCCCATGCAGCTGTCACACTGGCCCTTGGGGATTTGCTGTGGGGTCAAAGGATCATTTTTCCCTGCATCTGTGAATCCCTTGGTCCGTGCTTTCCCTGTGTGCATGTTCAGTGCTGCACTGGCCAGGGCAGGATGGATGCTGCTCCATCACTCTCTCCTGCAGCAGCACAGTCAGGTTTTATCATGGGGCTTCTATGATAAGTGGGGCTTTCTCTGGAGCAATGCTGGGTGGTCAGCACTCACTGCAGGAGGCAGATCCCACCAGATCATCTCCTGCTGAGGAGTGGGCCACAGGGAGGTGCCCATGGATGTGGTCACCTACTGCCAGGGGGTGGTGGAGCCCACTGTGGTCCAGGCAGAAGCCTCTCTTCTCTCTTGATGGCTCTCGAGTGGTCCCAGGCATCTCTGGGGTGTGCAAAGCAGGAGAGGGTAGGGACGATGGGGGTATCCAGGTGGGACATTGCAAACCCACTTGCTTGTGCTGCCCAGCCCTGACACAGCCCAGACACTTCCCCAGGCTGGCAGCTCCCTGTCTCTGGCTGGAGTTTGCTTCATGGGGCTGGGTCGGGTGACACAGAGATCTGGATGTATTTTGGTCTTCAGTACATAAAGTGCCATCACATCCCCACCCAGCACTGCCTGCCCATCATCATTGACTCCTCCTGGCTCTTCCTGGCAGGTACCAGATCCACACAGGGCTGCAGCACTCCATCATCCGCCCTCGGCAGCCCAACTGCCTGCCCCTCGACCAGGTCACCCTGCCACAGAAGCTGCAGGAAGCGGGCTACTCCACACACATGGTGGGCAAGTGGCACCTTGGCTTCTACAAGAAGGAGTGCCTGCCCACCCGCCGGGGCTTCGACACCTTCCTGGGGTCCCTGACAGGCAACGTGGACTATTACACCTACGACAACTGCGACGGGCCGGGCGTCTGCGGCTACGACTTGCACGAAGGGGAGGACGTGGCTTGGGACCAGAGCGGGAAGTACTCCACCTTCCTCTATGCCCAGCGTGTCAGCAAGATCCTGGCATCCCACAGCCCTAAGGAGCCCATCTTCATCTACGTGGCCTTCCAGGCAGTGCACACACCGCTGCAGTCGCCCAAGGAGTACATCTACCGCTACCGCTCCATGGGCAACGTCGCTCGCCGCAAGTACGCTGCCATGGTGACCTGCATGGACGAGGCGGTGAAGAACATCACCTGGGCCCTCAAGAAGTATGGTTATTACGACAACAGCGTGATCGTGTTCTCCACTGACAATGGTGGGCAGACCTTCTCCGGGGGAAGCAACTGGCCACTACGGGGCCGCAAAGGGACGTACTGGGAAGGGGGAGTCCGTGGCATCGGTTTTGTCCACAGTCCCCTGATCAAGCGCAAGCGTCGGACAAGCTGGGCGCTGGTTCACATCACAGACTGGTACCCGACTCTGGTCAGCCTGGCCAGGGGCAACCTGAGCAATGTGCCAGGCTTGGATGGCTACGATGTCTGGCCTGCCATCAGTGAGGGCAAGGAGTCACCACGTACTGAAATCCTGCACAACATCGACCCCTTGTACAACCATGCCAAGTATGGCTCCTTGGAGGATGGCTTTGGCATCTGGAACACAGCTGTGCAAGCCTCCATCCGGGTTGGGGAGTGGAAGCTCCTCACTGGCGACCCGGGGTACAGTGACTGGATCCCCCCGCAGACCCTGACCAACTTCCCAGGGAGCTGGTGGAACCTGGAGCGTCTCACTGACGGCCTGAGGAAGTCCGTGTGGCTCTTCAACATCACTGCTGACCCCTACGAGCGCTACGACCTCTCAGAGCAGCGCCCAGATGTGGTCAGGACCCTCCTGACGAGGTTGGTGCAGTACAACCGGACAGCCATCCCGGTGCGGTACCCTGCGGAGAACCCCCGGGCTCACCCAGACTTCAATGGTGGTGCCTGGGGACCTTGGGCCAGCGAGGATGACGGGGAGGAGTGGGAAGGCAGCCGGGAGCCCCTGAAGAGTAGGAACAAGAAGAAGTGCAAGATCTGCAAGCTGCGCTCCTTCTTCCGCAAGCTGAACACAAGGCTCATGTCCAACCGCATCTGATGGGAGACTCCCCCAGCATCGACCCATCCTGGCCAGGGTGGAACTCTGGACTGCACTGCCATGGGGTGGGAGTGAGGGAGAAGAACATGTGGGGAGGTGGCCAGTGCTCTCTTGCTCTCCCTTGCTCCAGGATTCATCGCAAAACACTTCTCTCTGGCTGGAGGGGTGGCTGCAGGGAGGTGGTCTCGGTGGGCAAGGAAGGGTGATGTGGTCTCTGCCCTGGTGCTTGGTGGTGGTGTATGACTGTGCTGAGCTGGGCTGGCCTGTGCACACGCCCTTCCAAAGAGAGAGACCCTTTCCTCAAGGACTCCACAGCCAATCATAAGCTTTAAGTGCTGGCCATTGCAAGAGCAGGAGGAAGCACGGAAAGCCCTGCCTGCAGGTTGATCCTTGCCATTTCCCTGTATTTACATGCTCCTGGCTTTCAGCCTTCTGCCAGGCAGCTGCTGCCTTTGCTCTTGCTCTGGGAACTCGAGGGCCTCCCCCAAACCCAAGACCACAGCACTTCCCTATTACAGTTCTTTGTAGAAGGATGGATTCCTGACCATGGATATCAGACCTGAGACTGATGTGGCTGGACTCAGTCATGCTGCTACAGGGACCTCACCTGGGGCTATGGTTTCCCCTCTCCACTGGCTTTGGGGGCCGGGACCAGCCCCGGTGAGGAGCTGTGGCCCACGGAAACATAGTTGGATACACTCAGAGCTCTCTGTGGCCCCACATCTGGGAGGCAGGTTTGCCCCTGGCTCTGATGAGCTCCACACTGGTCACCCAGCAGACCCTTTCACCCATAATTTGTCCAGACCCCCATGTGCACGGCACCCATCTTCCTCTCCATGCCTCCTACGCATCCAACGGCAAACCGTCCCGACTGCCCCTTCCCAGTGCTGGTGCTGTCCCTGTCCCCACATTCCACTGCTGAACCTGGGGCAGAAGGAAGTTCTCAAGGAGGTCTCTGCAGAGGCTGCTGTAGCTGCTCTGTAGCTGCAGGACCTTGAAGCCGCGGTGGAGGACAGGGGTGATGGGGACGTCTCTTGCCTGCCAGCACCGCGCCACATCCCCTCGCCACAGATGGGCACCGCTCTTCCAGCAGCGCACGCGTGGGGAGGAAAACACCTTCCCATCATCCGCTGCCATGGGGAACCCATCCGACTGCCAGGGGCCAGGCAGCTCCAGACCCAGCGCCGGGCCCCCGCGCCTTCGGCGGGGTGCGAGCGTGCGTACGTGCACTCACAGGAGAGCTGGCGAGGATGAAAGGGGGCAAATCGCTTCAAAAGCGTTTTGGATGCATGGTGCATTTCCATTTACACAATGTGTTTTACATTTCTCCCCACAGGTTTCTCTTGGTGCAGCGTGTGTAGGCGAAGGCCCTGCTGTGAATTTTGAAAATAGTTATTTTTGTCTCTGGAAAATGAGGCCCGTTAGGACTTGTCAGCTCTTGGATGAGCAGTGTGGGCTTTCTTTTTTTTTTTTTTTTTCTTTTCCCCCCTCTCTCTCTCCCTTGCAAAATAACATTCATTTAAAATCTGTCATTGAAAGATGTGACAATTGGCAGCGTGAACGCTGAATACCTTTCAGTGCGCTTTCAAGCCCTGTGTGTGAGAGAGGGATGAGGATGGGAAGAGAATGCAATGACACGTTTGTATTTTTTTTTTCTTACTCTCAGCTGGATTATTTGGGGGAATTGGGATTTTCTATAGAAACAAAGAAAAAAAACCCCAGCTGACAGCAAGGCAGAAGAGAGGAGGCCTCTTCTTGTAGAGCTGGGAAGGAGTTTGAAAAGCCAAAGTGTGGTGGTGTGTGTGGCAGTCCCTGCTGCTCCACGTACATCCATCACCGTGCCGTCCCGTCGGCACATCCCAAGAACAGGTTTCAGAGGGGGACTCAGCTCCTCCATCAGCCCCATCTCCCTGCTTCCTTAGCATGTTGCTCCAAGGGGATTGGTCCCCATGGCATCACCTGGGCAGAGGTGAGCCCTGGGAGGATGCTCCACATCCTCAAACTACCTCAAGTGGCCAGCCTGGTCCCTCGGGATGTGCATCACCAGCGTATCCACCGACAGTGGGGCTGCGGCACTGGCTGCCATTTGGCAGAGCCAACCGGCTGCTGAAAATAAAGCAACAATTTGCTGAAGAAGAGGAGGCTGCTGCAGACAGAGCTGGAGCCAGAGGAGGGCAGGGGGTGATGCTGCAGGGGGCTCAGGAATAAATCATGGCAAAGGGGGAGCTGGTGCTGAAGGGAGCAGGAGAGCAGGGCTGGACGTGGGGTGGCGACAAGGCTCGGGAAACAGCTTTCATTTCCATATTTATATAAATGCATCCAAGTTTAGTCCTTCTTTTGTTTTTTTTTTTTTTCTTCAAAAATGGAAATTTCCATGAAAACATGTTTGATTTTTCTCCCTTCACTTTTCTAATATCCCCACGAGAAGGTTCGTCTGGCCTTGCTTCCTTTCCAGTTTCAGATGTGCTGGGCTGGTGCCGGGCTCGCAGTCAGCCTGGACATAGCGGTGGATCTGCCGTCATCTGTATTTTAATTAAAAAAAGTTGGGTTCTGAATCTTTTTAAGAAGAAACAGTTGAAGGAAAATCTTAGTCCCTGAAAACAAAGAGGAGGAGTAGGCAGGAGCATCTCTGGGTGTTCACGGAGTGCAAAGCCTCGAGCCTGAGGACAGCAGTTGTCCTTCTCCGATTCCAGCTGTGCTGTATCTGAACACTGCGCTGGGAACGGACACATGGCTGCTACTGCGTGGGCTCTTCATCCCAGCAATGCTCTTTAATGGTCTCTCTGGGGAAAAATGCAGCAATGTGCCACAATCCCGTGTTTTCGCACAGTTGAAGTCCCTTGAGAGTGTGTGTGTGCTCTGGCTGCTGAGGGGTTAATGCAGCTGCAGAGATGCTCAGTGGTGGAGCTCCCTGCACCCGGGAGACGTGTCTGCATAGACAGGCTGAGGCTCCCCTCCTTCCCAACCTCCATTCAAAGTGCTGGGCAAGCCCCTGGCTGCTCCAGACCCCATCAGGAACTGGGTGTAGGATGGGGGCCTGCAGAGGGATGGGGCAGGGGGATGCATCTGGGGCTCCAATGTCAGGATGGACTGGCTGCCTCCACCCTGCTGGCTGGAGGGAGTGGGATGGGGATGGGCTAGGAATGGATGGGCTGGAGATGGGGGAGGAGGATAAGAGGAGGATGGGAATGGGATGGGGTGGGGTTGGGGAGGGCAATAGGATGGGGATGAGGATGTGGGTGGGATGGAGTTGGGATGGGATAGAGATAGGAGTGGGGATAGGATCTGAGTGGAATGAGGGTGGGATGGGTCAGACAGGACTGGAGGTACCTCAGAGCCCCCCCAGAGAGAGGGAAGGCAATAAGCCCGGTAGCAGGACAGGGGATGGATATCTCAGCAAACTGCCACAGTGGGAGGTGGCAGAGCACCCCGAGCACTTCATGCTGGGGAGAGGGTGTTCTGGACCAAAGGCACTCTTGGCCTTTCTCCTTCCAGAGATCCAAGGACATGTGGTTTTTGGAGGTTTTTCCCCACCCAGAACCAGCACATGAAGGCCCCAGGGAGCCACATGGCACCTGCTGAGTGTCCCCAAGTATCACAGCCATGTCCACAGGAGGGTCTTTGCCCATGGACCCTGCTGTCAAGGAGAGGGTGGCACTGAGAAATCCTGTCTCAGCCAAAACCAGCTTCCTGTGGTTGCAGGAGCGAGTGCTGGGGCCCACAGGGACAGGGCACGTTTGCAAACACAACCCTAAATGTAAATCAGTTCTTACCACGGTATTTATAATCTTATCTAAAAATAACCCCAAATTCAGCTTCCCAGAGGACAGCAACTGAGCATCCCCCAGACCCCAGCTTGCATGTGAAACTGTCCCAGTAATTTTGGGATGTCTGCAATATGTAATTTGCAGCCCTGCTGGTTCTGCTGCAAGCCCCATCCCCTGGGAGCAGAGGGGACCTGCTGCACCCCCCCCCGGACATACTGGTCCTCCCTGAGCTGCCATTCCAGTGCATTTGGGGTTTTGCATCAGATCTCAGGTGCCCACCCTGGGGCAGCCCCAGGCTGGGATGCAGAAACTAAATCTCTGCAGGTAGAGCTGGAGCAAAGGTAGAGCAGCCCAGTGATGGAGAGGATCACTGGGGATGAAGGTCTCCATCAGGTGGCCAGATCCGAGCACGGCAGCAGGAGAGCAGCTTAGCTCCCAAAGCCCTGCAGGAGCAAACATTGGGATGGCTGGAAACAGAGATATCTTAAGTGTATCCTGAGGACTCTTGGAGAGGGCTGGGACTACTCCCCTATACAGGGGAGCCCCCAGCCCAGAAGGAGAAGGTCCCACCCAGAGCTCCTGCTCCCCTTGGATTGTCTCCAGGCACCCAAGAGCAGAGCCATGCAGCAGTTCCTGCTTGGGAAAACATCATCAGTGAAGCAGAGCATGTTCAGCACCCAGAAGTCTGACATCCCCTTACCCTCAGAGGGAAAAATGTTGAGGAAAACAAAACAAAAAAAAAACTGGATAGAGAGGATGGAGGGAGAAAACTTTCCTGGAGAGCTGTGTCTCTGCCAGGCAGGAGAATCCTGAGGAGGGAGGCACGGTCCTCACAGGGGGCTTTGCCATCACCCCCTGCCTGGGTGAGGGGTTTGTGCCATGGGGATCAGGGGTGCAGTGGGGGTCCTGGGGGGAAGGAAGGGACAGATCCCTCCTCCTGGCTACAGGAGCACGCAGAGTCATGCGTGTGGGGTTGAACACGTGTGCCAGCGTGGGGGTGGGCACGGGAGGGGGGGCAGGTCACATTGCAGAGCCCACGGGGACACGAACATTAGCACAGGCAGGAGTGGGGTGGGGGCACAGAGCTGCTCACGGGCATCCATGGGGTCTCCAGAGTGGGGGGGCTCTTCCTCTTGCCCTTCAGCTCTGAGGGGCTGCTGGAGGCTGCTGCTGGAGGAGGAGAGCACTCCCACAAGCATCGGGACACACCGGCCCCCACAGCAACACCCACCTCCCGACACAGCCCTGGGGGTGGTGAATGAAACCCCCTTTTGAGTGGGAATGAGATGGGAAGGAGCTGTGCAGGGGCTGGGAGGTGTTTTGGGGACCATCATATCCCCAGGGCACAGAGGGCACAAATGCATTGCCCTCACCCCAAGTGAGGGTGCCTGGTGTATTCTGTCGATGCCAGGGCATGGCCAAGGTGGGTCTGGAGGCCATCAACCCTTGGGGACCGTGGCCTCATCCCTGTGCCTGTCCATTGCTGGGAATCACGTCCCTGCCCTGCCACCAGGGATGCAGGATCTCTTCTGGCTGGACCAGACGGGAGCGGGAGGCTGGATGCAGGAATGCAAGGTGGGGATGAAGGTGGGTAATGGTGCAATTAATGGAAAAGCCATTAGACCTTTCTCCTCCTCCCCCTCCTCTTCCTCACTCCACCACTTGCTGTCCTCCTCCACTTCCACCTCCTTTCTTCTCTCCCTCTCTGCTCCTCCTTCTCTCTCCCCTCTCAAAGATTTCTCCCTATTTTTGTCTGGTTAGAACCTTTTCTTTTCCTTTTAACCCTTCCATGGCAGCCCGAAAGGGAATTCAATCCATCTCAGCTGCCAAAGGCAATACCTTCCCAGCTGGCACAGAGCCCCTTCTCCTGGCACTTTGGGGGCCCTGCTGCTGCAAAATCATCCAGAAACAGGACAAAAGCTCAGTAGAAAGCTCTTCTGGGGGGGTGGTCAGCAGGTGGAAAGTGCAAGGCGTGGTGTAAATGGAGGAGGGGGTCCAGGATCCTCAGTGGATGATGGTGGGGGCTCCAGGAAACCCCTTCCCTGAGGTTTGGACCTCACGACTCTACTTTTGTTACGCTTTTTGTGCTTTCTTATGTTCGGCATGGCAGACAGGCCACACAGCAGCAAAAAGTCGGAGAAGGAGGAGGCCAGACCTTCCTCCTATTCCCATTCTAAAATCCCCTCCATCTGCCCCAGCTTGGGCTCCATAGGGATATAGCACCCCAGGACACAGCCTTTTTGCTCCCCTCTAGTTGTGCTTCAGGCCAAGCCACTCACCCCACTATGTGGGGGACCCTCAGGACCTGCTCCCTGGGAAGCCCAGAGCCCATGGGGAGACCCCATGGGCAAAGGTGGGGAGCAGGGAGCAGCCAGTTCTCCCCTGCAGTGTGATAAGGGGTAGCCCCCCCGGGGACCCTGGCTGAAGGTGGGACAGTGTGGGCACCTGGGGACCTGCCATGGTTTCTCCAGCTTCTCCTGACATACTTCTGTTCCATCTGCTCCCTCCTGCTGCAGCATGTCCCCATCCCACAGCGCCCCAGGACCCCAAGGAATGCTGCTGTGGGCACCAGCAGGGCCTGTATTTTTTTATGGGGGGGGGTGGAGGTAAGCTGTTGCCAGGGTGACAGCATCCTCCTGCAACATGGAAACCACGGTTTCCATGGAAACCCTTTTTGCCCCAATTATTTTACCACTGCCACATCCTTTAATTTGCCTTTAATAGTTGT